GGTGACCCCGAGAGCACCAAGAAACTCCAGACATGGGTTGCGGCCCCGCATCATCACGGAGCTCGCCTCCTCTGACCGATCTCGATCCCCCACACGCATTCGGGCTCGACCGGTGGACACGTCATCTACCTGGTACATACCGGCTTTGTCCCCGCCTCGAGCCGCACATCGTGATGCTAGTGAACACAATTCTGGTACTCGGCCCGAATCGGTATTAGATCGACTGCCACCGCCTCGTCCTCGTGCTCCTTTCGCGGCACACGGTGGACGAGAACCAGGACAGACGACGCCCACGACACCTGATTCGGATTCTGATGGTTCGATACATCCGCATCCAGGTGCCTCGTCGTTCCGGCCGTCGCCGACGGTGGTTCATGGTCCTCGGGAACTTCTACAAGAATTTACCATTGCACTTCGCAATGCATACCGTGAACCTTTCACGGCATGGACACAGGGCGAGCTGGATGAAATGGTGAGACGGAAGAAAGATAAGGATTCCAGACCCACCTATAAGACCATTGCGCGGTTTCTTCAGAAGCCGATTGAGGAAGTTAAGCAGGCATGGAAGGTCTATCAACAACTTGAGGCTCGCGGCTAGGAACAAGCCCGGCAAATGCAGCAGCGACCATTGATGGACCAAATGATAAGCGGCGGCGGTGTGTCCGGTTTGAGTTGTTGATCACATGATACTTGCTTGCTTGCACGTGACTCAATCTTGCTTGTCGTGTTGCGAGATGTCGTTGACATGCAGTGATGTCTTTCCTGAGTTGCTCAAATCATGTCAGAACAAGTTGTACAGACGTACATTACCTGGACCCATGGAGCGCAGCCGACGTGGTTACAATTTCATGGACCCGGGGCTCTACTCGACAGACCCATTCGGCTGACTACGTCGCCTCCGCCCCCGCCAAGTCTGCCACTGCTTCTTCCACCTCCTCCTCCACCACCACCACCACCACCGGTGATTCTACACCCCCAGTTTATGCCCTCGGTACGCAGCCCCTCGATCTCAGCCCCTCGCGGACAATCCTGCCCTACCTCTTTGAAATCGCAGCGCACACGCCGCTCGATCTACAGCACTGACCCTTCCCGTGATGAAGTACCACGCAGTCCAGGGCGCTCGTCCAAACGATCTCGGACAGCATCAGCTTCAGCGCCGCGGCGATCTCGACGGCCCTTTACAGTGTTTTATTCCAAACGTGCTGGCCGTTCATCGCGATCCCCATCGGCAACATGCAAACATTACTGTCACGCCATCCTGCGCCATGGACGGAAATGTCTTTCCCCTTGTGCACGTAGACGACCAGGTCACTATCATTGCAGGTGTGCGCGACATCAAAGACAGTGAAAGCCAGGTGTCAGACATTTCAGACCTCGTTGACCCGTTTCACCTTGTGTTTGAAAAGTTGCCTCGCTCCTCAGTGGATGTGTGCGGTTGGCAATGCATGTGCGTCCTTGCCGCAGATTTTCGATTGGTTTAGCAGTCGTGCAAGCCCGTATTGCTGCTATGAACCCCCAGTATTTCGAGTACCAGATCGATAGAGGAGTGGAATGGATTCGAATTTACTCTCCGGGCATTTGGAGGCCCGTTCCTGAGGAGGCGCCAGTTCCGGACCCACTTTACGCTTCCACATTTCGGGAGTGGCGCAGATCATATCACTTCCAAGTGTACTGGTCTGAAGACAGCACCGGAGGCACCACAATGGATCCTATTGCCACGCCCAGTTCCTATGTGTCCTATCACGTGTGGGAGTACCGAGACTGGCAAACGCGAGGGTACCAACGACTTGGACCTCCTGTCCAATCCATCGGACTCGCGATGCTCGCCAACGCAGACATCGAGTCCTCGGTGGGCTCGTCGGTACCTGATGGAGCGTGGCGGGAACCGTCACCGCCACCATTCCATGATCCTTGGAATAATTCGGATTGACACTTGAGTAGCATGTTGGATAAAGATGAGGTTGTGCGTGCTTTGTATGTGAGTTCTCATTGGGTTGTCTTGCTTGGTGCTGTGCATGTTGTCTCCATGTGTCCGCCGCTCTCTGTGATAACTTTGAGCAGCTTGTCGGGTTGAAATGTTCAATAGTACGGTGCAGGGTGCAGCACGATGGGTCCTACCTCGCTATTTTGACTATGACATCGTCAATGGACCAGCAGGAACGAGGGTGGAATGGATTCGAATCTATGTGCCGGGTCAGTGGCATCCAGTAGCCCCTGACACCCTGGGACCGGCCCCGGATGACCCGACCGCCTATCGGGAATGGCGCAAGGTCTACCACTTCGAAGTGTACTGGCCCAGGGAAAGCACTGGCGGCACAACTATAGGCACGGCTCTGCAACCGGTATCCCACGCCACTTTCTACACTTGGTATTACAGGGACTGGGTCACCAGGGGGTACCAACGCCTGGGTCGTCCACATCCCAGCATAGCGAGGCCAGTTTTCGCTTCGGGTGCACCGGACCTCATGTATGCTGGAATGACCTCCTCTTCGGCATCATC